TCTAAATGATAACATTTATGAAGAGGTATTTGGCCAACAGATCAGACTCCTGAGAATAAACCTGTTAGATATTGCAAAACACAGGGTTGGGTTTTTCTTTTTTCTTGTTTTTGAGACAGGCTCCCGCTAAGTAATTCAGATTGGTCTTGGACTCCTGGAATGCTCCAGCCTCAGCCTTCCTAGTGCTGGGATGATAGGTATGTGCCACCATGCCTGGCCAGGGTTGGTTTTTCATATATGAATTTGCATAGTCTTATTTTTACTTTGTATTGGGTAGAAATAGTTATATTTTTGGTGGTCTTTTCCTTGAGAACCTCCAAAGCCTTATAAATATGTACAGCAAGCATTATTGTTTAAGAAAATGTATTAAGATTCGGATATATGAGATCTCTTCTTATCTCATTTCTACCAGACAACTTGGGTGGGTTTTGTGAGCCAGTGTCTTAACTTTCTGGGTCTTTTCTCATCTTTCCAGTCAAGAAGTTGAAGATTATAATGTTTTATGCCAGATCATAGATTCTGGGGTTCTAAGATATGTTTCTTAAATTACAGAATATCTGTTAATGTGTGCTGTTCTAAGGTATTTTCCTTCCCTTCATTTACCACAGTAGCTAGCATAAGGGGCACCCAGCTATTTTGCTGAGACTTAGTCAGGAGGGAAGAATATGACTGGGGAGGCTAAAATTGCACAGGAGACCTAGCTTGGAGGAGGGGATGGCAAACATGGTTCTTGGTACTGGAAGAGTGGGGAAGGCCTCATTTTGTTTTGGGTTGACATCAGTTGAGAAGTGAATGCTTGTCAGCCTGGGCAGATGAAAATGTTATTATAGCAGAGGGCTTTTGAGGAGAGCAGGGAATGTCCTCTTTTAGGTTTAGGCTAAGAGAAAGGGATGATTTTTTTTTTTTTTTTAATTGACATCAGTTATTTTTATTTTAAAGAAAGAAAAAAAAATAAAAACAGTGGTACAAAATCTCAAAACAAGATTTTAGGAGAGCAACAATGGTTAGTACATTGTGTATTGTTATTGCCAAAGTAGTTTCTCATATTACAAGATATAGGCAAGAAATAATAAGAAAATAA